AGTTGGAATTCCTTAAATCAAAAATCTCAGTGCGAGTAGGATGAGCTACATTACGAGGACATGATAATAAATTCAAACGTGATACAAGTTTTTGGATGCATTAATTATTTCAGGAAAAACCCACTTAAAATTTTTTTCAAAGCCACAATTGATGGATACATTTATTTCCGAAAACTCCACTTACGAAAGTTCGAACCCACACAATGAAGCGAAGGCCACTAATAATGAAGTAGTCCCTACATGATCTCATACGTGAGAGGTGGGCGACGACCCTAAACTCCACTTAAAAAGGGTCGAAACCACACAGGTTGATTTTGGTTTTTTTAACTGTTCTTAGTTTTAAGAGTAAAATACTCTAACATTCCTTACATTTTATCTTAATTATACAAACTTTTCTTGTATTTTGAAAACATACACTTAAGTTCAAACCGTTAGTTCCGTTGAGAATATTCTAAAAAGATGTTTTTTTTTAAAAATTAAAATTTATGTTGAAATACTCTTGATTTACTAATTTACCCTTCACAATACTAAATCCCCAAATTTTGGCCAAAACTATCTTGAAGAATTTAAGATTTTTTCCTTTACCTTAATTTTATTTTTTATTTTTACAAATCATTGTTTATCTAATGTTTTTATCATATTGGACCAGAAAATTAAGTAATTTAGTTAATGTAAACATAAAAAAATATTAAATAAGAATTTGATTAATTCTTTAAATAAATATATAATTGATAAAATTAGATAAGTTATAAATGTTTGCAACAATTTTTTTCAAGAAAATTTAAATTATAAATTTAAATGATTTATATAATTTTCTAAAAATACATAATTTATATTATATGATGAAAAAAATAAGCATTCGAAATATTCTCTAGCCATTTAAAAGAAACCTTAAGTTTCAATATTTCATGAAGAATTAAAATTGTATAATTCTATAACATAATCAAAATTAAAAATTTTATAACATATTGAAAATTTTGAAAATACATGTATTATAATTATTTTTTGTTGCATAAAAAATTATTTTTATATATGTATATAAATGTTTAAATAACGTTTATGTTAAAATTTACATATATTACTACTTATTTTTTAATAAAGATAAACTCAGAGAGTCTATCATTTGAGTTCACGCGATGCAAGTGTACAAATTTAATATAAAATATTACCTCATGTCCTTAATATATGACCTAGTTGACTATAATTTGAGGAGATTAAAAAAGTTATTTAAGTTAGTTATTTCTAATAAATAAATGTTGTATTTCTTAAAATGCCCTTACTAATCATAAATGTTTGAATTACAAATTGATAATAACTCTGTAACATATAAAACTATTGTAGGGATTACTTGAGAAAAATGGATAAGTATTAAAAACAAAGTGCATTGTAATCTTATATTTAAAATCAAATTAAAAGTTAAACTAGATCTTATATTAAGGATCGGATGTAGTATTAGTTTACTTTGACTCCTTAGTTTCACGACTGATTGCACTTAGTTTTATATCTGTCATGGGGATCATAGAAATATGGTATTTATTTTATTAAATAATTATATTTATTGTTTGGAATTACCAGTTTGCCCTCACCTCAAAGATCGCAACCCCACCCACAAGTCGTAACTGCCTAACCCACCTTTGCCGTGATCACACCAGAACTCATGCTGCGGTTCTATTAAATCATTTTTCATTTTTCTTGAAGAAAATCAATGTTCATTTTTATGCAAACAAAGAACAGGCACTAGGGTGAAATTGAGACCAAAGGAAAAAAAATAACCAGAAAGACCAAAATTAAAAGATCTTGGTCATCAAGGAATTAGGAAACTTGAAAAAAAAAAAATTCCCTGAACAGTGAACGCCATCCTCATCGATGATCAAAGAACCGAGATCAATGAATCAAGAAAAGAAACCAACGGCTCAAATCAAACGACCCAAGATCAATGGAGGTTCAAGTGACTTGGCATCACAGATCTGAGTACTCCTCCATCATTCGCCTTCATTCTTCATTTGAGTTGAACAAGGCTGAATACTTCTCCATTATGTCGTTCCCTTCGCCGTCATCCTCTGCCGTCAGCCTTCATCGTCGTCCTCCGTCATCTTCATTTCCCTAGGGAGGGGGAGGGGGGTCATGGGTAACATGGTAAAAGAATGGAGTTCCATAGAAGTGGAACCCAGTTCCCTGGGGGCTGTGGAACCTAGTTCCATCATTTTTTTATGGAACTCAATTCCTCAGAGTTGCCTTCAGCCATACCGAACAAACAAATTTTGGATTCTAGTGCACTTCCACTTCCCACCTTCCCCAATTCCATGCTACTAAATGGGCATTACTTTTGTTTCCCACCTTCTTCCACCTCCTCCACCCATGTCTATGGCGGACGTGATACTGCTGTCTAGAGTTTCCTCCATGACTGTGCGTGGTTGAGTTTATCATCTCTTGATGATAGGCGGTGGTTGAGCAATGATCTTTTACTAGAAGAGTTTCTAGTTCCATTTATGTTTTGTTCTCTAGTATATTTTCATATTTTCCTTGTCATGAATGTGTCTATATATATTTTTGAAACTGCGCAGTAAACTTCATTTGTGCTGTTGAACTAACTTTCATCTATTTGGATTATTGTAGTTAAGTATTATAATATGTTAATGCACTATTTCAGTTGAGTTAATCTGTATTGAGTTATTTACTATTTAGCATGTTATTATGAAATAATTCTATGAATTTTGCTTGCTCGAAAATGGGTATTCATACATATTTCATTAATTAAGATCATTAAAAGATGAGGATGTGGCATATTAATGTTAGGTGTGTTCCATTAATTAGCGCTTAATTAAAAGGAAAGTGTATTAATCCAATCCTAGCTGGCACGCAAGTTTTCATTTCATTTTATATCATGTGAGCTTATGTTGCCATAATCTATATTATTAGATGATGCGAACATCTTTGATGCCTTTTCTTATCATCCTTAAAGATTAGGCTTTACTGAGTTTTAAAAGCAGCATGCAAGTGTACATGAAAATCTCATAATTCGAGCGGTAACATAAGCTCACCTAGTGATTTTGCTCCAACGTATACCATTATTTATTACGAGTGAAAGTGGTTTTATTGATTTTCTTGCAATTAAATTGTTACATGCATGTTTCTTCCAGGTCCGCTCCCACTTTTCCTTTCTTTGCCACCTCACATTAGACAAAGAGAAGATATCAATTATGTACTAATACTTAACATATATCATAAAGAGAATACAATTACAGACCATGTTGGCTTTTTCCCCCCTTGTTTTGGTAGGGGGAACCCTCCACATGATATCTAGTGCCTTTTCCAATCCTAAACTTTTAATATGTGTCATTTGTCCGTAAAATAGAAGATTGAATAGACTATGGTGCAGAGGGGTAACAATTAAACAAATTATTTTTGAAAAACCAATATTTATTTTTTAAAAAAATAACTAAACTAATTTTATCAATATTTATAAACTATTTGTTTAGCTTCTATACATTTTCAACAAAACAGAATAATCGTTTTCTGTGATTGAAATGAATTGATGTCGAGCCAACCCGCATATACTTGCATTACACTTTGTGGTCATGCGCAGAATGCTAATCCCACTAATTAATGGTATTTGATCCAGTGGAGTCAATGTTCAATGATAGGATCACTAACCGGATGCAAATCTAAATTGACTATAACTATTATAGTTGTGCTAATAAATCTAAATAACAGTAACATATTTCTATAGTTAATAATTCATGACTTTTTATTTAATCTTTATAATGGACTTGAGTTCATCGTAACATAAAACTGGGAGAATGACTATAGATTTGCTAGCTATTGATAGAACAAACTCCACTTGGTGAATCTGTATTCCTCTTCATCCAGAAGTATCCGTCCATTCCCCAATTTTCACGCCATGAATTCTTCACAATCCAATAATCTTTTCCACCTTTTGAACCATATCCAACAATCAAAACTGCATGATTTGTGTAAGTTAAATCCTTATTGCAATTCCCTCCATCGAAAACTCCCTAACAAAATACAATAAATTTAATTGGGAAGAAAAATTCAAAATCATGATTGATATTTTATAGTGGACTTAAATTATACCTGCAAATATTTGGAGACAAATTAAAAAATATATATTACCTCATGTCTTTAATATAAAATCCAATTGGTTTGGATAAATTAAGAAAGTTACTGAATTACTTTAAAATATTTATATTTTTTGTTTTTCTCGAAACTAATTTACCTCACTTATAGATGAACATACAATCTAATGAGACACATAATTATCTTAGAAAGATAATATAATATATATTATAATTATATAATTTCGTAACTTTTTTAATCTTCCCAAATTAGTTAACAGGGAGCATATATTAGAAAGCCCCAAAAGATCAATTCAATAAAATAATCAAGTAGAATAATAAAACCAAACAGGATAACATTTAACACGGCCTGGAAATTGGATGAGGAGAGAGAAAGAAAGACATACATCCCGATAGTGTTGACGATATGTTGCATCCAACGACACCGTAACGGGCTGCTGAGCAGCGGCACATAAGAGAGCCGCATCTGATTTTGGCACTTTTCCATAGCTATTAATTTTCACCACTCTGCCTCCATTTTGCTTAACAAACACAAAAAAGAAACCTCAAATTAGAGAGAGAGAGAGAGAGTAAACGAACCTCCTTGGCTTTGCAAATACCATTTCGTGCTGTATAAGTATAATCATCTCCTTCACTAATGCCACCATTTTTTCTAACCCATTCAAAGGCACTTCTGGTGTATCCGCCTGAACAACCATAGCTTACAGAGTCGCAACTACGAGTCCTAGTTCTGAGAGAGAAACAAGTTTCCCTGTGCGTATTGCATTTATTGACTCAATTGCTCCGATGGTTCCAAACGCCCAGCAACTTCCTATGAACCATCAAATGTTAATCCATTATTGGTCCATTCAGGTTCCAGAGAAAATTAATTGTGATCAATTAAATTGAACTAAGGCAACTCACCACATCTCTTTCGGTTTTTAACTGGAGTCACCACTCCTTTCTGTCTCCCATCCACAGAAGCAGGTGGTGTACAGGAGTCCAGTTGCAGTACAAAGTCGGACCTCGTGGCAGCGGCGGCTGCGGCAGCAGAGTCGTTGGTGGTCGGTGTCGGTAGATGACGGAGGTATGCTCTCTTAAACTCCTCAGAACTCATATCAGCAAAAAGTTGAGTCCCAAACGATACCCAGATCTCTTGGCATTTGTCTCTGTGATATACTTGAGATTCTTTCGGAATATCTGGTACCTGGTTTCTGTGGTTTCAGAGTTTGGGTATTTTTTCCCATGCTCCTTCATCCATTGTCGGAATATTCCAAACTCTTGTTCTCCTTTTGAAGGGAGAACGGATTCTTCAGTGGGGAATCCTGAAGAGAGACATATGAGAGTGGAACACCAGATCAAGAGATGAAGGAACAGTGTTTTAGAAGAAACGGACAAAGTCATGCGTGTTTTAGAGTTTCAGATAATCAGAGATGAAACTTCAAATAAGCTTGCATGGAAGTGAGACCAGCAACGAGATATTTATAGTGTGATTCAATTTACCTGTGGAGAAAAAAAGACAAAATGTAAATAACAGTGTGTTTCATATAAATATATTTTTCCAGCAATACCGTAGAATTTAATTTATTTTCCTTATAAAAAAAGAGAATGTTATTTATTCTTGATCGGAATGATTCATATTTTGACCATATATTTTATATTGATACTTTTCAGCCCACTACCAAGGCTTGGGAGAAAAGTTTGATGCAAGATTTTATATTGAACTTAAAATTTTATATTGAACTTGAGTCAAACCATGCGGGAGCTTAAAATTTGCAATTTGAATTGGTGATTTTGTTAATGATGTCGTGATACACTTATTAACTTCAAAAAGTCATGTTATTGGGCAGACTTTAGTGTTCTTTATTAACATTATCCGTCAATGGCAAGAAGAATACTAACGGAATTGTGTATAGTCTACATCTCATTATTATGCTTAGACTATTACGTGTTGACTGGTAAGACAATATGAGAGCACATTCCATACCCATCACAATAAGTATGGAGTACTCATCTTAATTTGAATTGTCCAACTTAATTTTGAATGTTTCAGATTGGATTTCAATTTTTTTTTATTTTATTTTTTTAATTTAATTATTTTAATAGATACATAATTATATAAGATAATTTTATAACTAACACTTCTTGAAAAGATAAATTTATTATTGACAAAATTGCATACCACTTCCGGTCCTTAATATAAGAGCTTGTTTGACTTTTATTTTGGTTCTAGATATAAGACCCCAATCCACTTTGTCTCTTATATTTATCCATTTTTTTCTAAGATAATCCTTATAATAATGGTAGTTTTAGCTAATACATTTGATTAGCAAGGATATTTTAGGAAAAACAATACCTAATTATTACAAATAACTAACTCAACAAACTTTCTTAATATACTCATATTAGTCAATTAACTCTTATATTAAGGACCGGAGGTAGTATTAAAAATTTTAAATATGAACCACATCCATATCCGGATGAAGACCCTGTAATGCAATATATAATGATGTTTATATGATTTTATTTGGTATATCGTTATAAAATTATGATGCGTAGGTATAATATTGATTTGTTAGTTTTTAAAAAAAAAAGTGGAAATAGATAGAAATAATAAATAAAAAATAAAATTATCCTCTCTATATTACTATGCGCACACACACGCTTACATATATGTAGTATAAGGAACTAAAGTTGTGTCTGCATATTATACAGGCAGTAGTGTCTTTTCCATCTAATTACAAGAGAACTATATCCCATTTCTCATGTCCAATAATGTAATTATAATCCAGCTATTTAAGGTAATTAAGGAGTATTACACAATGTTAGTCTTTTTTTTTTTTAATTACAAAAGCCCACCCAAACGTTTAAATCCGCCACTATTTGATGGTTATTGATAAACCATGTTTTATCAAACAAGTGAGACTTTGTCAGTTTACTTTCCTATGATTATGTAATGAAATTGCTCGTAAACTAACCCATGATAGAAATCTCTGTCTCCTTGCAAGTGACAAGCTTCATTGGCAAGAAAAGAAAAAATAAATCGAACTCTTCAACTTACATAATAAAGATCCAAAGACCTCAACGAGAAAGGAGAAATGTGGGGTCCAAATATTAGTTTTCATTTGATTACTAATTGAGTTCCAATAATTTTTTATCATATAGTTATAGTTTCATCTGATTTTAGTTAGATCTCTGTAGTTTTTTGTCATCAAATTCTTACAGTTTCACTTTTTTTACCACCTAAAACTGTAGAAATTTGATTAAAAATCAAGTAAAACGGTTAGCATGCACTTGATAAACAGGAAAACAACTATAGCAACCTAATTACGACCCTAATCCTGAATATAAGATCTAATTGACTAATTTAAAAAACATAATGAAGTTAAACATTATTATCTCTACTCCTAAATATAAACCTAGTTTGCAGTGTGAATTGCACTACATACTAGGTCTTACATTTAGGACCAAGGTAGTACTTAATTATAGCATATGTTAATAATATTTTTAAAATACTTATATGTATTATTAGATTATATATCAGCTTATAAGCTGAGTAAATTAAATTAGTTTGAAGAAAAATGATAAATATAATACTTTAAAATAATTTATATAACTTTTTAAAGCTTTCCAAATTAGTTAATTGGGTCATATGTTAAGGATTAGGTGTAGTATAACACACACATATATGTACACTAAATTGAGTTTGTAAAAAACTCTGATATTATTTTCTTGCTATATTCAACACTCTAATCTTATTTATAATCCATCCAGCATACTAATATTATTTTTTTGGTGGTTCCAATATCTTATCTTATTTAAAGTGCAATGTGCATCCTAAATTATAAAATAAGATTAGAGTGACGATGTAACTGAAAAAATAATATTAGGATGATGGATGCACCAGTAAAATAATATCAGGTTGCTAAATATACTATAAATAAAATTAAAATATTAGATACACTTGAAAATAATACCAAAGTATTGGATGCTACTTTGCCCAAAAAAACAAAACTAGATGTCTTTTAAGCTATGAAATTCTCCAACTTTTTGTCTTGCTTGATCTATGAAAATTTTAATTTTCAACATAATTACAAATAGGAATTTGGAGTATCAACTTGCATGCATGGTCCGGAGTAGTATTAACTTGCATATTAAACTAAACAATTATTTTCAAAATATATATTTTAATTAAAATATAACTTTAAAAGAAAACAGAGATACATACACTTATATGGGTATGTAGAAGGATTTGATATGAAAACCAAAATGTATATAGTGTGTTGGGTTGGATAGCATTAAAAATATAGAAAAATTTCTCCGCATAATTTCCTAAGCAACTTGGCCAGATTAATCCTCCAATTACCATGCCTTTTTTCTAATAAGAAAGACATTTGAGAACATTCAAAAGGCAACCAAGTTTGACCCACAAATTAATGAGGTCCAAGTATATTATTTATGTAGAACCCCCAATTGTCTGAGTTGACTCGATCGTATAGCCAACCAAGTTTGCTTTTGAATTGGATGAGATAGGTAAGGAATTGGAGAGCTATCCCACGAAACACGTTCGTGGGAAGAAAATAAATAGAGAATGAATAATTAAATAGACATCATGTCTCAACTTCAAATTTTAAAATTTAAATTTAGAAGTATTTTATCATATTATATATTTATTATTAAATTCAATCCATCTGATTGAGACTTTTAATATATCAATTCCCATTGATTAGGAAATAGATATATACGTCCTAACAAGTTGTTTCATAAGGAAAATGTGTATCCAAAAACTCCACTTAAAAACGCGAGTTGGTTGTTGACTCAACCAAATCCACATTCTTGGGTATAAGAAACAAGCTGACTAGCTTTTAGACTTGTCCTCCTCAGGCTCTTAATGTAAAACTAAATTACAGTATACTATAAAATGAGTCTTATATTTAAAATTAAATGAGTATATGCTTTAGCAGAGACTTAACTTGGTTTTGGAGTAGCTTAAATCAAAATTCTTAGTGCGAGTAGGATGAGTTACATTATGAGGGCACAATAAGAAATTCAAACATGATCAAAGTTGATGGTTGCATTTATTAATTATTTTAAAAAAACACTTAAAAAGGTTCAAACCCACGACGATTGATGGATGCATTTATTTCCAAAATCTCCACTTAACACGTGATTCATAGAAGCAAAAGGCCACTAACGCCCATATGCTCTCATATGTAAGAGGTGGCCGACCATAAATTCCAATCAAGTGAAAGTTCGAAATCACGCAGGTTGATTCTAATTTTTTTTCTATTCTTATTTTTAATAAAAAATAATAATTAAGTTTTACATGAAGTTAAATGTGCTGTTGTGTTGAAACAAAAAAAAAAAACAAAAAAGAAGAAAGAGTTTCAGATTTTGGAGTTTGCAACATAAGAGGCAAGTTTCCTAATTTGAAAGAGCTTCCATTGCAAGTCACAATTAATTTCCTAAATTTTTATACTTGGGTGGTAAGACTCCTACTTTCCTATTTCTACTTTCCTTTTTTTTTTTTATCTAGTTTTCTATTTTAAATTCCTTTCCTTTTCATATTACTTTCCTATTTTCTTTCTTCAAGTTTCCTTCTTTCTTTTGTTTCCTATTCCTTTTCCTTCCTTTTCATACTACTTGCCTAATTTCAGTTCTTTTGTTGCAAGGTACTCACTTTCCTAAAGTTTTCTCAAGGAAGTACCTTTCCTAATTACTTTGTTTCCTATTTTCCTTTACTTTCACAAACCTTATTTTCATTTTGCAATTCCTGCCTCCCATTTCCACCTTTTTTTTTCTATCCTTTTTTTTTCATCATAAACTTCTTCTCTCCTCAATTTTTCTCTTCCTTTCCTTCCATCCTCACATTTTGCCTATCCTTCTTCTTTCATTCTTCATCTTTATCTTTTCCCCTCTTTCACATAGTTGCTGGCTCTTACAATTTCTGGTTGTGAAGGTTACAACTTTCTAATATTGTCTCTTGGTTTTTGTTGAGTTTCAATCAAGAATACTATAGGAGACAAGCTCGAGTGGTAAAAGACAAGAGTGTTTTACTTTAATATAAAAGCCAAAGTTGAGAGAAACATGAGTAGTAGCACCAAATTGATTAAGTGGAACACACGAGCAGAG